ACGGGCGAGCGAACCTCGACGGCCTGGCCACGCCCCCTCCCCGGCAAGGACCGCCCCCTGGGCTGGAGGGGAGGGGCTGTGCAGCGCCGCTGGAAGAGAAGCCGCCGGGACCGTTCCTTCGCAGTCCTGCCTTCCCCTCCCCGTCGCCCCCACAAGTTACTTTCCCGAGGTCTGGATCGTGGCACCGCATCAGACCTGAGGGGGCCGCTTTCCAACGCGGGCGTGCGCACGCACGCAAGCACACACGCGCTTCCAAAAATACACTCCGCACCTTTGGGAGAAAAGTTTTTCATCAGCGCGTGGGGCGGGGGGGAAGAGAGTTCCTGTATAGGGCTACCAAAACCGTGGGGTTCCCCCCCCAACCCCCTGAACCAGAACGGTCCCTCACCAAAAGGTTCTGGAAAAAGAGCTTTGGTTTTAAGGAGCGAAAGGAGTTGGTTTTCTTTTTCGTCGCGAGAGAGAAAGGCTGCCTTATCACACCGCCTCTCCGAAATCCTGCAAAACGCAACGAAGGTATTTGCAACGCAGGTTAACCCTCTGCAACCTTTATACCAAAACACACACACACACACAAACAAACCCAGGCACAGAGTTGCAGAATAAAATTAAAATTAAATTGTAAAATATGAACCAGATAGGTGGGATATTAAATAAATAAATAGATAGATAGATAGATAGATAGATAGATAGATAGATAGATAGATAGATAGATAGATAGATAGATAGATAGATAGATAGATAGATAGATAGATAGATAGATAGACAGACAAACAAACAAACAAACAAACAAACAAACAAACAAACAAACTGAGCCTTGCAACTCCTGGGCAGCCCCATGGGTTTAGATGTCTGTCTGCGGAGGCAGTGCTTGGGGGCTGGCTTCCCCCACTTGTGCCTCCTTGAGAGAGGCTGGACTCAATGACCCACAGGGTCCGGCTCTGCAGTTCTAAGATGATGATGATGATGATTGATGATGATGATGATGATGATGGACCCTTGTATCTAACACCAAGTAGACTTGACCAGCTCTGCCCAGGCCTTTCTGCTTGCCAGGAGCTTTGCCTTAAAGGGCCTAATCGACTGCGCTGCCAAGTGAGCTCAGAGGGTTAGAGAGAGATGTATCCCTTTGACCCTCTGGGTGAGGGTTTGAGCCTCGTTCCTTGATATCCATCATGGTTGGAGTGCGGGCCCCGAGGTGTGTGTGTGTGTGCCTTCCATCTATCCTACCAGGCTGGAAGGGAAGCCACTCAGCCGGCCTGATTCTCTCCCAGGCTCAGAGGCAGGGCCAGCTTTCTGCCTGAACGAAGGCTTGTCCCTCTTAATGCAGAGAGCGCTGGGGCTTCGGCTTGGCCTTGGCCTGTCCCAAAATGGAAAACAGCGATCCTTCCCTTCCTGGCACTGTGTTTGGGGTGGGGGGTTGGGGGGTTGGGAGAGGGTAACCTCTCCAGTTTTTCCTACCAGAGGGAAGCCTGGAAACCCCCCTTGGGACGAGGCGTCCCAACAAAACAGGAAACACCTTCCGCACCATTACTGGAAAGTTGGAAGTGAGGGCTTGGAGGTCAGTAGCCAGAGCAAGAAGAAGCTGCTGGGCTCAGCAAAACCCGCCCGGCCCATCTAGGTGAAGGGGGGAGCAGAAGGGGATTGTTGCCCCACCAGGCCAAAGCATCACCCCCCCCCACCCTGAGCTGTGCCACCCCAGGCGAAAGAAGCAGGTTTTGCTTTGTTGTTTACCCCCTCGCCCCCCCCCACCCTGAGCTGTGCCACCCCGGGCGAAAGAAGCAGGCTTTGCTTTGTTGTCTACCCCCTTGGGGAGAGGAAGGAGTGAAACCTGTTTCATCAGGGAGATGATAGAAGAAGCCAGGGAAGCACGGAGGGAGGGAACCAGGGACATCCAGATTTCTCCAGGAGGATAGACGGGTTGTCTCCAGTCTTGAAAGAGAGTGAGAGGACCCAGAGAAGGGCAAGGACAGGAGGGAGCACCAGGAAACTGTGCCTGGACAGCATTTGGACCGAGAATACTTTCATGAGCCCCCTTCCAAGCAGACCAGAAAGCAATGAATGACTTGAACTGCTTCACAGAGTGGCCGCTGGTCCTCTTTGACCATGGGCAGTTCTCTACTGGAAGATTGTTCTCCATTCAAAGGTGTCGTCTCCTTGAAAGGCTCCCCAACCCGAAGCTGATCAAAAGGCTGCACAGAGGGAGATTGTGGGACCAGGAGGCAGCTGTCATCCACAATCATCCTCCAATGGACAGCAAACTCAGCTGCAGGGACATAGATTACTGGCTCACAGTCAACGGCACCAGCGCGAGGGGAGTGATGGTTCTGGGTACATTCTAAAAACCATACCTCATTTTGCGGCTGGATGTGTCAGAGGACATCTGAGTTTCTGTGCCATTCGGTGTCCTCTCACAAAGAGGAACCAGGCCGGGGTCGGTGCTCTCCTCCCCAGGAGCACCTAACGTCTATTTTGTGGGGGTGAGTGTCACAAACTCGCTGTGGAAATCCACTCTGCGTGGTCTCCGTGGCACTCTTGCTTCTTTATCATTCCTGTTCTCCTTCAAGACATTCCTTGGAAGTCGCTCCTTCAGCCCACACTGGCCAAGAGGCTTCAGAATGAATCCCCACTCTGGCTAAAATACTGGCCCATGGATCGGGTCACCCCTCTCTTCACCAAGGGCGCCCCCCCCCCCCCCGTTCGGGCTACTGTAAGGACTGAAGATAGCCTGTGACTTTCGTTATTCAGCACCTACTGTTTTATTCCGCCTCTTCTCCAGTGTGTTCCAGGGAGTCGGCCCCCCCCCCCCCCCGTTCGGGCTACTGTAAGGACTGAAGATAACCTGTGACTTTCGTTATTCAGTGCCTACTGTTTTATTCCACCTCTTCTCCAGTGTGTTCCAGGGAGCCCCCCTGGCTTGCCGTCCTCGTGCTCTACCCTGACATCAACCGCGCTGTGAGAAAGGTCTGGCTGGCCGGGCGTGCGACCGGCCCAAGGACACTGAAGGACTGAGCTGCATCACTCGGTAGGATCTTGAACCTAGATTTCTCCCAGGCCCCGATCCAACATTTTAGCCACTAGCCGGTGAAGCATTTTAAATAGCATTCTCTGGGGTCCTTCAGTGAATGACAGAAGATGATGAAATGCAACATTGCACGGACACATGATCAAATGGTTTCTGTGAGTGCATGCTAGAGAAATGGGATCAGCCACAGATGTCTGCTGAGGGTGGGGGGAAGGCAATGATTCACATTCTTCAGGCAAGCAGTGGCTTCAGGTTTCTCGTCCTCACTGTTTCCTGTCCCTTCACCAGCCCTGGAGGAAAACCTTCCTTTGTCTGCACCGAGGGAACAGCAGCCGTGCCTAGCCCTTCCTGGAACATCAGTGCCTACTTTTATTTGTGATAAATGGGAAGGGTGAATAGCACAATGTTCTGAAAACGGAACAGCCTCCCGGCTGTTCCTGGAGATAGCAGGATGGGGAGAGATAGTGTTCCGGTCCAGCCTCCCACTCGCTTTGAGAGGAATGGAGGGGGCCAAAGGGGAAGGGGGGAGCAGGATGCCTGGGTTCTCCCTCCAGCTGAGAGGCAGATAAGCCCCGGGTCTCGCCAGGCACAGAGACTTACCTCCTCCAGGCTCTTGATGTCCGCTCTCCCCCCCCGCCCGTGCCACAAGGGTGGCAGAAAAAACACCCTGTTCTTACCTCTCCCACACACTGCTTTCTGCTCCCCCTCAGGAACATAAGAAGTGGCCTTCTACAGAAGCCAGATCACTGGTCCAGGTAGCTCGGCTTCCTTACACAGAGCATCACCTTTCTGGCCGTGGCCCAGCTGGGCAGGCGGCCTCCCCGGGCAGTGGCAGAGCTGACCACACAGGTATCGGTGAGAGGCACATCGGCCCCCAAATGCTGCCGCCAGAGCAGCTGCTCTCGCCATTTGCAAACCCGGCACAGGATGAGGGGGTGTTGGGATGAATAAAGGATTTATGTCGGCACACACCCTGTGCTCTTTTTTTGATTGTCGTGGCCCAGCTGGGCAGGCGGCCTCCCCGGGCAGTGGCAGAGCTGACCACACAGGTATCGGTGAGAGGCACATCGGCCCCCAAATGCTGCCGCCAGAGCAGCTGCTCTCGCCATTTGCAAACCCGGCACAGGATGAGGGGGTGTTGGGATGAATAAAGGATTTATGTCGGCACATATCCTGTGCTCTTTTTTCGATTGTTTTTAAACAGGCCCCCAACTCTGCTCCGTGCAGGTATTCTGGGATGGAGAAAGCCATCGGTGAGCCTGGCCAGGTGCAGCACTAAAGTAAGAAGTCCAAACGGATGCAACGGGGTCCTTCTCTCAGCCTCCAAGCTCCTTGGCAACAGGGTTCAGGGGCTCACCGTTCAGTTCAGTGGGCACAGCGGGCAGAGGAGCAACCAGCTCAACTTCTATTATGAGACTCCTCGGTGCTCAGCCGCCCACAGGTTCGAGGGCTCTCAGCTGATCCTCCTGCTTGGTTTCAGTCTTTTGCCCTTTTGCTTGCATGAGTCAGCTTGGAAAGCAGAGTCCCTGGTGTGGAGGTAGCAAAAGAGGCATCTGAACTATGATCTCTCTCTCTCTCTCTCTCTCTCTCTCTTTTTCTCTCTCTCTCACACACACACACTTATGCCATTCACAGTTTTCTCTTTTTCTCTCTCTCTCACACACACACTTACTTATGCCATTCACAGTTCAGAGCACCATAGGGATCCCCAAACATGTCTAGTGGATTCCTTTTGCCGGTGGGTGGGGTAGCTTTCCTGGCTTTGAGGCATTCACTCTGGACCCACCTCTCTGGTGCCCTAAAGCTTGAGAAGTTTGTGGCTTCTTATTGAACTAATAAAGGTGCCGTTCAACCCGGAACTTTCCCCCCCTCGTCTTCTGTTCCAGGACACACCTTTTGAGTGGCAACCTGAAACCCAGCTTTGATAGCCCCAGACGGCTCTCACAAAGAACAGGGAACAGGACGGCTTGGCAGCCGTTTGGAGGGGAGGCAAAGGGGCCGGGGGAGAGGGTCGTTGTGAAGCGATCTGGAAATCTGGGGTGCCTTGACGCCAGAGGCAGCAGGAAGGAAAGAGCCCGGCCAATAAATAAATATTTTTTTAAAAGAAAAGAAAAAAGCAGAGAACCTTAAGTGGTGTCCTGGGCACCCGCCGTTGGGTGCCTGCGGCCTGCCTGACTGCCCCCCCTCTTCTCAAGCCACGGCGCCCCAGCCAGCCGCCCGAGCAGTTGCGATCCAGGCCCTCTGCCAAGCCTGGGAACTGGGTCACAGCGGCTGCTTAAGACCTGAAGCTGCTGCCAGGCTGCCGTGCCGGGGTAAATCCGGCATTGCTTAACTGCCCCGAGGGGTGCCAAGGAGAAGCAGTAAGCCTGACCCAAATTCCCAAGGAAATCTGGAAAGGCACCACTTCCCCAGGGAGCTACGACGAGCCGTCGTCTCCAGCATCTTCCCTCGGCGCTCTTGCATCCTCTTGGCAATCGTTCGCTTGCCCTTCTTCATCCCAGCTCAGCTTTCTGATTCAATCCCACCGGCTCTTTTCAGGTTTAGAACTTGTTCTAGGAATGTGAAGTGCTGAAAGCATGCAGTGCCTCTGAGGATACACAGAATGCCATATCCCTCAGGAACTACCAAAAGCCCACTGTCTATACCACTAGGACTAAAGCCACAGTAGTCTGCCCTCCCCCTTTGGCTTAGCAATTCACTTAATCGTGTACCACTCTCAGAACAAGCTTGCAAAGGGGGGGGGGGTGTTCCTCCTTTCCCAGCCTCACTTTCCTCATTTGCACCCATGTGAATGTGCCGCTTAGCTGCATGCCTCCCCCAGACCCCCTCCTTGCCCTTCTCATGCCTCAAGTGGGCTCCTCCAAAGCCCTCGGCATTTTCCAGGCATTCTGCATCCCTCCACCCCTTGGGATCCCCCTCTTGGCACCCACACACAGGCACGGCTGACAAGCAGCTCCCAACCCCTCGGCCACCCATTTCCTGGCACATGGCCGGAAGGCCCACAAGACTGCTAACCGGGGATGGGTGGATGAAAGAACCACTGGCTCCCTCCCAACCTCCATGCATGTCCCTTTAAGTTCACCAAAGGGGGAAAGGAAAAAAAAACTAGGATATAATAGTACAAGAGAAGAAAAGGTTGGGGAAAAAAATCTCTGTGTTGCAATTCATTGAAAACAGTTGAACTTCTGGACAGCTCACCCTTGCAAGCTATTTTCCATGCACTGAACTTTAATGACCAAGCTCCGGCCGGTTAGCACAAGTGGTCCCATCGGATTTTGCAGCCAGCATTGGCAGCGTTGGGTGAGACGGATCAAGGATCTGGCTGAGAAAGGCAGCTTGATCTCAGCTCAGAACTGTGGAGCCGGGAGGGAGACCCTGCGGCTCAGGGAGTCCATCTCCTCTCAAGGGGGCCCGGGGGGGGGGGGAGGGGATCAAACTCCCCAACTCTGAGCCATCCAGCAGCTCATCTTCTGGAAAAGAAAAAAATACCTTTTGCTTTAGAGAAGTTTTGTTTAATTATTGCTTTCTGGAATGATAGGTGGATGTCAACGTTACTTTTGCTTGGCCATCTCTGTCCAAAGACAAGCAGCGGAAGATAAAACTAAGGCGGGTCAATGCAATGTCTAATCAGCAGAATAAAATAAAATATATTCACAGCATCTTAAAGCCATGAATAACTGTTTTGTTGGCATATAACAGCAGTGGCGAATAGACTATTTGTTTGCATAACATGTTGCCCCATCAAGACACGTATTATCGACAACCTCTCTCTATATTTGGTTTCAAAGGACTTTTTAAAATGAGGGCTGCTATTTTGTATCCCTTCTTTATTTGTTTCATTTTCAATGGCCGCCATGAGAAAAATTCTGTCTTCCAGAATGGATTGGGCTACATGAATCTTGGCCAAGTCCGGGAGGGTGGTTTCTCTTTGAGGCTGCATCTGAACCCAGGCCCGGACACCTGCGGACCTGGGTTCAGATCTCTCTCTCTTGTCTCTCTCTGTGTGTGTATGCTGACTTGAAGGCCCTCTCTCTCTTTCTCTCTCTCTCTGTGTATGCCGACTTGAAGGCTTCACCCCAATTGGCAACGCCTTTTCATGCAAACATAGGAGAAGCAGCAGCAGCTGGAAGAGCAAGCTTGTCTTTGGGAAAACCGGACGGGCAAGGGATTGGGCCGTGAGGCATGGCTTTCTTCCAGTTGACTCCGTCAGAGAGCGGCACAGCTTCTGAAGGAGCGAAGGCCTTGTTATCTGGGCAGCCTCCGTCACTGGCAATAGAAGTCCCACCTCTGGAAAGAAAGAAAGAAAGAAAGAAAGAAAGAAAGAAAGAAAGAAAGAAAGAAAGAAAGAAAGAAAGAAAGAAAGAAAGAAAGAAAGAAAGAAAGAAAGAAAGAAAGACCGGTGAGAGAAGGGCACTCTGTGCATGCCCAGGGCCACTCTCACTTTCCCAAGACAAGTCTTAGGAAACAAGCCACACTCATGTAGAGAATGTCCTGAGCTGGCCTCTCAAGGCTGTTATTCAAAAGAGAAACTTTTCCCTTGAATAAGGGGATTATTCTTCCCTGAAACAGCACGAGGCGGCGCCAGCAAGAGGTAGCGGGCCAGGCCCAGTCAGCTCCAGCCGGTATTTGTGGCAAAGCCCCCAGGTGGCTGTCGGGAGTGGCCTTCCCACCAGAAAGGGGGGGGAGAGAAAGAGGAAAACCCAAGGACATGGGGGTGCCCGGCCAACAAATGGGGCTGCCAGTCTCCTGCCACGTCCGCCGAAAAGGCCACTTACGCTGGTCTTCACCTCCACCTTGCCCGGCTTCAGGTACTGGTTCTCCTGGACAACGGAGCTCGGGAAATAGCCCAGGCGGGCGGCCTGGTCCCCATAATAGTCCCCTTGCACCTGGCCAGAGAAAAAAGAGGCCTGCCTGTATTATTGAGCGCCTTCGCTCAGGTTCCCCGGGGCAGGAGCGCCCCCTGCTGGCTCTTTGCAGGCAGGGCTAACACCCGAATGCAGGGCCTGGGGCACGTTAGGGCCATCCCGGCAGGGGAGGTTACTCTTCTGATTCCTCTTGGTTGTGGATGGGCTGGACTTCAGCTCCCATCGTCCTGCGCAACCCATCATGCTTCCCCAACGCTAAGGCCTGGCTGGAGAGCTGGTTCTTAAATACTGTAATGGGTACGTGAATGCACAAATCAACTTAACTCGCCTGCCACCCAGATGGGCAAATACAGACTTCCGGAAGTCGTGCAGCAACAACCCTCCGGACAGCCGGTGGTGAAGAATGATGGGAACTGGAGTCCATCCACATCTCACGGGGCTGCCCTTGGGGTCTTGTGGTTTGCTGCCCTTTTCCAGAACATCCCATACCCCTGGTCCCATTTCACAGGCACGAAGGGGGCGGCTGGAAAGGGACCACCTTAAGAGACCCCTAAGAAGCAGGATTGGAACCCCAGATTCCCAGGGAGAACTCTAAACCCTCGCTCTCTCACCGACAGAGTTGAACTCGGTACATGCTCGCTATTTCTTGTGTTTTTCAGGACCCCGCCAGCCGCCCAAGCTGGGGTCACCCGGCCTCAAGGTCGGCAGAAGGCCGGGTCCCAAGACGCTACTCACGCTGCCACCCCAGAAGAGTCGCCCACGGCCTTTCAGCTTGGAGAAGACGTAGACCACCTGGCCCCTCTGGATGTTGATGAAGCGGCAGTCGGGGGCGATGTAATCCTGGAGGGCCACTGCCATAGAGATGGGGTCTGGGAAAGGAAGGGCCGGGCAGTCGGGACAACGCACAGGGGCCATCGTCTTTGATCCATCCAGGCAGTATGTGTGTGCTGGAGCAGAAAGCTGCCACCACGTCCCACCGCCTGTCCTCTCCCACAGAAAACCGAATGACCGCTTTCACGGCCGCAGGAAAAGGTGGCACGACCCCACGGGACTGGGGAGAACCCACTCTCAAGCCCCCTTGAGGCAAGGAGCTCCCTCGGTAGCCATGGGCTAGTCAGACTCTCTTAGCCTGGCTGGCCGGCCTCACAGGGAAACTCTGGTGCAGAAGCATCTTTGCGAACATGTGCTCCCGGGGGCAGGGGTAGGAAATGAAATCCATCAAGCAACATAAATCCTATATATATATAATTTAAAGGGGGGGATTCAGGAAGGTTTCAGTAGCTGTTCACCACAACCTTTTGTAAAAAGAGACCCCCTCGAGCCCAAGCCCACACCCCTTGGAGGCAGCTGGTGGGATCCCAGAAAAGCTTTTCAAGCAGGAACAGACAAGAGGGGGCCCCCGTTTGCTATCATAGCAGCCAGCGAGGTGCCTCCGAGAATAGCCCACTGTGCCACATAGCAGCTGGTGCTCTTAAGATAGACTGCCTCTGAGCCAGCAGGCTCCACCGAAGCCAGCTCAGCTTTCTCTCTACTATGTCATATTCCCCCCTTCCTACACCTGCCACAAAGGCACGGTATTGAGTATCAACCAAAGGCTTTGCATTCTGACACAACATAAAACTATAATAAAATCACGGGATATCACCGTCTCCATGCTTTAGACCATTTTTGTCAACTTTTTCTAACGTTTCCTCCCCTCCCCTCGTAGGAGATGCTCTGCCCACCCATTCCTGCTGCTTCCCTTTCTGTGCCGCCTTTGCAAGCTCCCACTGCCTCCTGCCCTCTTACTGGGATCCCTCCAGATCCCCCTCTCCTGTTCCGCTCTGCTTGCTGGCCCGTTCAGAAGCTCCCAGTTGGGCCCTTGGCCTGCCGGGGCTTCTGCTACAAGGGAGTAAGGGGAAGCAGGGAGGGCTCACTCACGGTCACACTCTGCGTCCGCACACAGCTTCTTCTCGGCCAGCTTATCCATCTGACGCCCACTCCGTACCAGCCCCGCAAATAACGTGGAGAGAAGCAGGCTGGTCCAGAAGACGCCCCGGACGGTGCTCCCCATCTCGGCAAAAGGACAGGACAAGATGGCCCACGAGCGGCTTCGAGGGGAAAAGCCGCCTGCATCCTCCGCCCCCCACCCCCTGCTGGGTAAAGCTGCTGTTTCTGGCCCCCGCCTTCACCGGTTTTGCCCAGGCAGCCTCTCCTGGTAATACAGGCCACTGCCAGCCACTCTCTCTCGTCCCCCGACCACGGGTTGCATGGCTGTGATGTCACGGTCCCTTTACAAATGCTCGGGATGGCTAAGAAGCAAAGACCAGCCCCAGAGGAGGGTCCCCCTCTGTTCCCAACAGCTTCGCCGATCGCTTGGAAGCCTGTGGCCAGAAACAGCCTTTGTCTTGGTCTCCCCTTCGCTGTATTTTGTGACTGTGAAGCCACCGGCCTGGGATGACCAACCCGCCTGCTTTTTACTGCCTTCTGATCCAGACTTGCTCCCTGCCACGCAGCTTTCAAAGTCAAAACCATTCCAGGGCCATAAAGACGAGGACAGGCAGCTCCGAGCTGGAGGCTTTGCCTTGACTAAACAGGAAGCCACAGAAAACCAGCGGGCCCCTTGCGGAGAGCAGCTCCCAGTTGCATACTGAGCACCTTTGTGTGCAACTGGCTCTCTCTCTCTCTTACAGTGGAAAGGGTAAGCAGGGCCAGGAACTGCCGCCTCCGGCATGCAGGACAGAAACGTCAGCACACACCACGGCCTGTCTCTTGGCTACCAAGGCTCTGCTCTCAGCCTCCAGGAGCTGCAGCTGATTCCACCCCCCTTCTTTCGTCCTCCGTCATCCCAGCGGTCATCAGGGCTACAGCAAGAGACCCAACCATCACCCAAGCAGTCTCCTTTTGACCACCTCAGGAAGGATCTTGATAAACTCAGGCTGAAAAAGCCCACCTCTCACCAACAGCATGTTTTCCTGTGTTTAAACCCCAGGTGAGCAGGGCAGGCCCTCGAGATGGAGCAATGTCGGGGAAAGGCCGGTTGGTTACTTAAGGACCCAATCTTTCTTTGGCCTCCTGGCTCCTCTGAGGGTTCAGTTCTTCCCTGACGCTGCCAGCTCCTTTGTCACGTGGCCCTTGTTGGAACGCCATCCCCATCTGGGTTCAACACTCCAACCTGCACCCTGGATCACCAGGGTTCCTTCGTCGGATTCCCAGAAGCAGGGGACCCAGACCCATGCTGCTGTGAGGCAGCAGCTCTGGCAGGAAAGCCCCGGAAATCATTTCCAAGAACAGAGGAGGTTGTGTACCAAAATGGTCTGTCCGCAACTAACTGCAGGCTTCCTCTCACCTCTCTCTCCCTCTCCGTTCTCTGGGGCCTTTCCCTGCCACCCTGCACCACGTCATGCTGCATTTCATGTGAGTAAAGAGGAGGAACGACAGAAATCTCCACCACCACCACCCTGACATTGGGCTGCCCCGGCAGGCCTGTCGCCTGCACTCAGCGGGTACTCTGTCACATCCCCTGGAGCAAGCAGTGACTCATTCCGGCCTTGGGAAAAGGACTGGCCCATGACTGTGGATGGGCCAGTTTCGCAAGGGCGATTCCTATTCCAGTCTCACCCCTTTCCCAACCCAACTCTTTAGTCTGTCAAAAAAACAAAACAAAACACCCAAGGAAGGAAAATAAACCAACTGCTTTTATTAGAAAACAGAAACGCTCCAGGTGCAATGTCTGGCCGTCAGACCCTGGGTACAATGCTTCTGGAAGGAATCGGCTGCTGTCTCTCCACCACGCATTGGAAGCTAGCATAGAGGTTCACATTCTCTCACACATTCATGCTCTCTTTCATTACCCCTGACACAACCACTTACCTCACCATACAAAATGTGGAAAAAACAAAACGAACAAACACACCAAGAAACTCCACTCATAATTTTAGGCACTAACTAGAAGGGGAGAGAAGGCGAGTCGTCCAGGGATCTAGAGCCGGGACAGCCATCACTTCTTAGCAAAGGAGATCTTCATGGCGTTGTTCTGTGTGATCTTGAATCCCTGGAGGGCGTCTCGGGCCGCTCCGGCCTGCACCTCATTGTCAAACTCCACGAAGGCTATATCGTGGCGACCGGGCACCAGCCGCACCTCCTTGAAGCCGGGGAACCTGGAGGAGGGCAGATGAGGGCGGGTCAGGGGCCCCACTTCCAACCAAGAGGGGGGAGCGACAAGGAAGAATTGGGGGGGAAGAGACTGAGGCAGCCCTGCAGGCAGGGGAAGATGGAGGGGAGCACCCAAGGAGGAGGCAGCACGGTCTAAGCAGGGGCTCAAACTGAGCAGGCAGAGCATTGCAGGAAGCGGGAGATTTTAAGAAGCAAGTGAGGACGCTTTCTAAACTGTGTCCGAAGAGCTCGTCTGGGGGATGGGAGAGGAGGCTAGTTCTTGAGCCCAGCCAAGAGAAGTCCCTTTTCATCAGCCTTATTCATGCAGATGTAAGACACAAAACGGGGTATCCAAAAACGTGTTATGTTAGATGGACTGCAGGTATTTCCATACTAAAAACAATGCCGCTGCCCCTACACATTTCCAGATCCTAGGTCTCCACAAATCCCCTTGCCGGCAACTACCGACCAAAGCATGATCGGCACGTGCCTGCCTCGCCTTTACTGAGCAACCCTCCAGCCAGGAGCCCCACACAAGGGGAACTTACTGATTGAAAAGCATGGACAGCATCAGTTCGTTGGTCTCCTCAGGCAGGTTGGTGAGGAACAAGATGTGGTTGGGAGGGTTCTCTGAAAGCTGCAAGGGACAGAGAGAGAAAGTGTCACATTTACAACTCTAGGAAGGAGGTGGGAACCCAGGCTTTGCAGTTACGACAGGCACCTCCGTGGAACCCCTGGCAACCCCAACCCCCTCTCCACTCACCGGCTGAGCTGGCGCCATCTGCCCTGGCATCATCTGTTGCGGGGGCATCGCCCCAGGAGGGATGGAGCCAGGCGCCATTCCGGGCGGTGGCATCATCCCTGGAGGGGGCATGTAGGGAGGCTGGCCTGGCATGTGGTGCATCATGCGAGGGGCTTGGTTCATGGGTGGCATGCCCTGGGAAGAAAGCGAGAAAGAGGAAACAGACACACCCCTGAGTGAGGATCGAACCCCAGTCTAGCACGGCGGAAACAAAGCCAGAGGCCAAACTGTACCCTATAATGAAACAACCCAACCAAACCATATGACACAGGATGGCACCAA